CAGAAGATGCCGCCTGAGGCTTCCTGAGCTGGGGGGTGGGGGGAGGGTTCCTCACAGTTAGAGGAAGCCCAACTTAGATGGGGAAGCGTGGAAGCTGAGATTCCTTCCTCTCCCGGCTCTGCGACAGATGTCTTCCCTCACCCCTTCTCTGGCTACCCCTCCGAGTCTCTTCACCCAAAGGGGCGGGGGCGGGGGCGGGATCTTGGAGTTGATCTGGGACTCCTCTTACTTCCTCCTGAGGACACTGTAGCTGCAGGGAATGGCTGCTCTCCCTGCCCCGCCCTGCGCGGGGCCCCACCCCGCCTCACCCCACCCGCTTCAGCACTAGGAAAAGAAATTGGTCATCTCCTCTCCTCTGGGCCCCGAGCTCACACAAGTGCCATCTCCAGGTCCCCAGCCACAACAGTGATTCAGGCCATTTACTCAGATCCGTGTTAATGAGGTTTTTTTTTTTCCTGTCACCTAATTAGTTCAAAATGAACTCAGTCAGCCCTGAGAGGAAAGAGACTGGAGAGGGCTGGGCAAAGGACAGAAGGGGGTGTCACAACAGAAGGGCAGGACCCCAGGTCTAGTGGGGTCCTTCACTCCCAGAAGACCCAGTGCTCCTTCCCCAGCTACAGAGGCCTCCGCAAGCAGCAAGGGGGTGTTCAGGTGAGGAGCCCCCAGAGCCATACACACAGAGGCGAAAAGGAGGAGGGCCCTAAGCCTGAGGCCCCAGCCCTGGACAGGCCCCTGTGCACAATTCTGTCATCAGCAAAAGGCCTTGCACTCTCCCTGCACTGCCACTAAGGCTGAACCCACCACCTGCTAGTGGGCGTCCCCCTTCAAATGCAACCAGAGGGGGAAGCAGATGGCCCAGGGCGAGGCCCATCTGCCCACTGGGCACTCAAAGGTCACCATGCCACAGGGATGCCTGTGGGTGGTGCCGGCCTCCACCGCACCAGGGGTGGAGGGAAGGGCATCTGCCAGCAGCTTGCACCCGCTTCCTCTGCCCCACAGTGGCTGAAGCCCAGGGCCTAAGAGCCGAGAGAAAGTAGCACTGAGCAGCGCCAGAGCGCGGGGGTTTCGGTCCCTGACGCCGGTGCCTTGTCCCTAGAAGTCGGTCAGTGCCCCGCAGTCCCGCGTCCACCTCCCAAGAGGCTCCCTGGAAAGCTGTGGCGGATCCGGCTCGCGTGGGACCCGGCGAAGGCGGGGATGGACCGTCCAGCGCCTCCAACGCGGTCGCATTGCCCAAGCCCCAAGTCAGGCCCGGCCCGCCGGGCCTCGGCATCGTGCGGGATGTGCGTCGGGAGAGGGCGCCGCGGTGAACGCCACCCTCCCCGGCCCAATGGCGCTGGGACCGGGAAGGCTGCCATCCACTAACGGGAGGCTCCGATCCCCCGCCCCACCGTGCGGCAGGCAGAGCCCGGGCAGCGGCATGGACGCCTCTCATGCAGCCGCCCCACCTCCGGGCCCGCCGAGGCCCTCCGCCGCGCCCACCCTCCCGGGCCGTGCCCGACCAGATTTGGCTCAGCCCCCAAAGGAATCGCTGCTCCTCCGAGGGCCCCCGTCCACAGAGAGACACTACCCTCGAGGCCTGTAACATTCAGAGCAAAAAACGTATACCGAGGCGAGGGACCGGCCCTCAGCCCCAGAGTGTCCGCAGGCGAGATATGGCGAAGCCTGGACGCTGGCTCTGCAGCGCGGGCGTTCAACAGACCGCGTGGCCCGGACCTGAGGCGCGCGAGGACTCCCGACGGGGAAAGCGTGGCCAGGCCGGACCCGCAGAGTCCCCGGCCGTCGTCGGCGGGGCCGCCGCGCCCCGGCTCCCGCAGCCCCGGCTCCGCTCACCCTCGATGGAGATGACGTGCTCCCGGATCTGGTTCTGCAGCGCCAAGTCCTCCATGCGCTCGATCAGGTCGTAGATGGCGTAGATATTGGGATGCACAGACTCGAAGCGCTGGATCTCGGCCCGGATGGCCGCCGAGTTGGAGAGCGCGAACTGCTGAGGGGGCCCGCCGGCCAGCTGCTGCGAAGGGCCGCCGCCCCCGGGCCCCGGCCCCGCGCCGCCGAACTGCCCGCCGCCCCCTGCGCCTCCGCCGCCGCCGCCGCCGCCTCCCGGCGCCGCCAGGCTAGGCTGCTGCTGCGGGCTCTGACCCCCGCCCGCCTGGAAGTTCATGGCTCCGGGATCGCGGGGCCCGAGGCGGGCCCGGCCGAGGCCGGGGCGGCGCTGCGGCGGCGGCGGGCGGCCGCGCGAGACTGGCGGGGCTGGGACTACGGAGCGGGCGGCGCGGGGCTAGTGCATGGGGCCGGGGGCCGAGAGGCGCCGCCGCGCACGCTGTGGCCGCCGCTACCGGGCGCTCCCAGGCGCCGCGATCCCGCTGCCTCGGAACAGCCTCCAGCGGCAACAACAACGGGACCGGGAGCGCGCGGCCCGGGCCCTCCCCCCGCGTCATGCGCACGCACCGCCGCCCCCGCCGGCCCCGGCACACGCAGCCTGAGCCCCCCTCCCCGCCGCCCCCGCCCCTCCTGCGCGCGGGCGCCAGCGCCCCCGCCCCTCGCTGGCAGGCTCTGCAGCCTCCACCCCCGAGCCGCGCGCTGCAGCCCCTCCCACTTCGCCTCGGCCCTTCCGTCTCCTCTCCAGCCCCCACCCACAACCGCCGCGGGGCCACCGCTCGGAGGGGACTGCGGCCTTGGCCTCCTCCGGCTCAGCTGTCACTTTCGCGTCTCTGCGCTGGTCTGGGTGGGGTGTACGATGCCCGGGCACTGCCCCCACGGTGCCCTATGCCTGAGGGTGCTGATGAATGCGGTTGATTGGCCCAGGAGGGCCGCCAGCTCAGGCCCTGCTGCGCCGCCCTTTCAGCATCCTGCCTTCAGTGCGGCACAGCATCCCCTGTCCCGGCCCTGAGATCATCCCTAGAGACCACCTCTCCCCGGGGCTCTCTCTCTAGCCTCCCCAGGACTCTCCATGGCCAGCTGCAGCCCAGAGGCTGAAATTCTATTTCCAGTTCTCTCTGAGAGCTTCATTGACGGGCGCCCTTGGTAATGGCACTTCGAACAACAGCTTCCCCGGTCCTGTTTTCCAGCCTTTCCTTATAGGCCCTTCTGCCAAACTGGGGAGGGTTCGCTAACCACAACCAGACCCCACAGGTACAGAGAAGGAAGGAGGGAGGAATCAAATATTATGTCTTCTTCCCCAACTCCTCCCACTCAAGAGGAAAAAGAGCCCATATGACTCTAAATTTTCCTGGTCTTCCCCCCTTTGTCCATCCTGTGTTCCTGTCCACTCCTTCTAGGACCAGAGAGCTCCCTTCACTGTCCCCGTCCTCCGCACACCCGTTGCCACAGCTGTCTGCAGTTCTGCCGGCCACCCGGCTCACCGACCTTTCCTAAAACCCACAAGCAGTGGCATGTGCCGCCAGTCAGCCGGCCAGGGCTGCCTCCCCCCATGTCCTCTGGCACAGTGGACACGCGTCATCTTTTTTACACACACGTCCACTTCCCGGGCCAAGCTGGGTCTTTTCCCAGCATAAAGCTGCCCCCGACTTGGCTACCCGCACAACTCTGCCCCAGTACCAACCCCGTCACCACTCCTCAGTTTCGTGTACCTTCCAAAGAACAGGTGCAACTGGGGGCCTCCCCAGCTCCTGAGATATGTGGAGTCCATCTACCTGTTTGACTTTTGGAATGCCTTATACATTCTCTAGGCTTCTTCTACAAAATACAGTGTTTGAACAGAACACCCGATGTCCTGTATTTCTAAAGGCATTATAGATGATTAGAAGCCACAGCAAAGAGTTGCTACTGGGTACCTTCCAGGAGAGACACTGAGGCTACAGGGCTTCTGAAACGCGTCGCCAGGCAGCCAGCACACCTCCGGTAGCGCTGGTGTGCTGTCTACGTGGGTGTCCTCTGGAAGTATATGAGCCCCAGGAGGGCAGGACAGCATCTTACCCATGCCTGGGATACATTATCCATTTAACACATGTTTGTAGAAGAAATGAACTGGACAGAAGGAGCTAGAGAGAAGGTCATTCCGTGTGTTAGAAACCTATGCTGACTGTTCAAGGCAACACTTTGAGGACTGGCTCCCACAAGTAGTCATGTACTATGGGGGCATGGGGGTACATTACTTTTTAATCAAGACTGGCCTACAAAATCCAGAATGTGAGGTCTTTGTGGCTATAGGAACCCGGGGGAGGGAGGAAAAACCCACAGAAATTAGTTGGCCTAGGCCAGGCTAGGGCTCAATCACATCCTCTGCACAGTAACATGCTAAGGACTCAATTTCCAAGCACATTTTTGAGTGGAGGGAGGGTCCTAATACTAGTTGAACAAACATCTCAACCCTTGGACAGGCGCCTTACTTAGATCTCACACTTATTTAACAAAACACCTATTTCTTCTTTACGAGGGAGGTCTTAGGAACGAAGAAATTTAGATTCAAAGAAATTCAGTAACGACCTTAAGGTCATTAAGGGATAAGGGATCAGCATTGTGTCAGGTTCCAAAGTCGATGATTCCTTCACAGTCCTGCAGGATCAAGGCGGAAGAGGGGACGAAGGGAAAAGGACAGCCCAAGCAGCGGCCAGCCCAGGGGCGTGTATACTCAGCGAGACAGGTAGTGCAGCCCATGGTTACTGGGCTCTGAGCTGAAGAGTCAACTGGGGAACCCAGGCGCCTTCTGGCGTTCCCCTGACGTAAGAGTAGACCGAGTCGCCTGAGTTCACCAGAGCCCCGCGTCTCGAAACGCGGGTGCTCTGACGTGCTCCAGCTGACGTTGGTTTCTGCAGTGACAGGTGCCGTGGCTGCTGGCGCCGGGCGGGGGTGGGAAGACGGATCCTGCTGCAGCCCAGGCCTTTGGGGGCTATCACAACTCCCAAACCTGCCCCGCCGGCCCCTCCGCAACCTAAGAGCACCGGAACCAGTTCGCCGAACCCCGCACGTGGGCCCGCAGGGCGCGGGCGGGGACTGCGTTCGGCCCGGACTACAAGTCCCACAATGCTCTGGACAGCGGCGGCGGCGAAGGAGGGGTGCCCTCAGGTGTCTGCGACCTCGGCGTCTCCCGCCCGGAAGTGCCCGAGGGTCCGCTATGGAGCTGGCGGAGCCGGGCGGTGAGTCCCTGCGCCTAGACCGCGCCCACCCCGCCTCCCCGAGCCCTAGCGGTCACCGCTCACCCTGTCCCGGAACCTCCCGTGCCCTCCCACGTCTCGGGGGGCGGGAAGATGGGAGGGGTGATGGAGGAGTTGGAGACTGGGAGGGCGAAGTCCCGGCTTCCCGGGCGGGACCTGGGGTCTAGCAGGACGCTGGGTTTGGAGAGGCTTCCAGAGGAGGCGCGGGGGTCAGGGCGCCGCGGGGTGGGGCCGAGTTGGGTGCGGGGTGGCAACCCTAGGAGATTCCAGATTGTCCAAGGGCGGAGTTTGACGTTTGGTTTAGGGAAGCCGTCCGTGTGGGCGGGTGGGGTTTGGGTGAATGGTAAGGGGCAGGGGGCGACACAGAAGCCCTTTTTCTTCCCCCTTGGAGAAACTTTAGCGACGGAGGAGATACCTTTGAGGTAGATAAGCAGCTTTGGGGTGGAATTGGTGAAGGAATAAACTTTGGGATGAAGTAGACAGAAGAATAGGTAAGCTTTAGGGTAAAGTTTGGTGGGGATGAATTTAGGGGAGACGTTGCTCAGAAAGTCAAGGCCCTTATCGCGGGATAGGGTTTGGGTGAACTGAGGAGCTGGTGAAAGATCTAGAACTCGGGTTATAAAAGTTAGGACTTGGAATTTGGTGATGGGAAGGGCACGTGGGGCAAGATTGCTGAGTCAAAGCAGCCTGTGCCCTGGCCGGGGCCTTGGGTCAGGGGTCGCAGGACTGAGGACTGTGGGAAGTTGGGGTGGGAGGACTGTGGGAGCCTGTTGGAGTTCGGAGGGCCGCCGGCCCCTGTGAGCCAGCCCCTCAACCCCTCATGGGTTCTTTGTGCCTCTCCAGCTCAGTAGTGCGGCGGGCTAGCCAGGTGCCATGGCCCTGATTGAAGGGGTGGGTGATGAGGTGACTGTCCTTTTCGCGGTGCTTGCCTGCCTTCTGGTGCTGGCTCTCGCCTGGGTCTCAACACACACATCGGAGGGCGCTGACCCCCTGCCCCAGCCGTCAGGGACCCCAACACCGGCGCAGCCCAGTGAAGCCATGGCGGTCACCGAAAACGTCAGAGGGGAAGCCCTAGGAGCTGAGACCCCCAGCCTGAGACACAGAGGTCAGGCTGCACCCCCAGAGCCCAGCACGGGGCTCCCAGCAACGCCGCCACCCCTGGACACCACCCAGGAGCCGTTGGTACTACGGCTGAAGTTCCTCAACGATTCAGAGCAGGTGGCCAGAGCCTGGCCCCACGACACCATTGGCTCCCTGAAAAGGTAAATTGGGATGAAATACTAAGGAGTGGGTGGGAGTGATCGCAGACCTGGAAGAGCCAGCAAAGACCCTTGAGACTCGCCCTCATTGTACAGATGAGGGACCGAGATGCCCAAATCACACACTGTATTGTTCCCCTGGAGCGGGAGGGGACCCCTTTGGGGGCCCTGACCTGGGTGGTGGGTGGCTGGAGGGCATCGCTGAAGGGTGGGAGTGTTATTCTGGGCCAGGGACCAGGATTGCCTGAGGCCTGCTCTATCACCCAGGTCCCTCTCTCCTCAGGACCCAGTTTCCCGGCCGGGAGCAGCAGGTGCGACTCATCTACCAAGGGCAACTGCTGGGAGACGACACTCAGACGCTGGGCAGCCTTCACCTCCCTCCCAACTGCGTTCTCCACTGCCACGTGTCCACACGGGTCGGTCCCCCGCACCCCCCCTGCCCACCGGGGTCAGAGCCAGGCCCCTCCGGGCTGGAAATAGGCAGCCTGCTACTACCCCTGCTTCTTCTACTTCTGCTGCTGCTCTGGTACTGCCAGATCCAGTACCGGCCCTTCTTTCCCCTGACGGCCACTCTGGGTCTGGCCGGCTTCACCCTGCTCCTGAGTCTCCTGGCTTTTGCCATGTACCGTCCGTAGTGCCTCCACGGGCTCTCAGCAGTGGGGCTGGCGCCTCTGGACCTGGCTCCCGACCACAGCCACAGGGCGGGAGCTGCTGTCTGCCCAGGCCCACCACTCCCGCCTGGGCCTGCCTCTTCCCACTACCCTGGAGCCCAGCCCGGCGCCGTAGAGCACTCCGGGGGCAGGTGGAGGCTCCCCTCTGCGACCTCCACGGCTCTGCGGCGCCTCCCGGGGCTGCTGGCCCTCAGCCGCCACTGACAGTCCGTTCCTCCGGCTCAACCAGCTGCTGTCGCTGCCTTGGCCCTGGGCAGAGCGGGGCCACGCCCCTGGGCTCGGCTTAGTGTTCTTCTGCCTGAGGACCCAGCCACCTCTAGTCCCTAATTGCTCCTTGCGCTGATTTGGGGACCCAAGGACCGTGGCGGGGTGGGAGGGGCCGAGGGAGTCCCTTGGAACTTGTGCAGATTAAACGACTGTGAAGTTTTCACTCCTTGTGTGTGTCTGAGCGTATAGCCCCACGCGGGCGTGGGGCCCTTGCCGACTGGAAGAAAAGGCGTGACGGGCGCGGACCGGGTCCTCCGCCGTGTCCGGCTCTCGGGGGCCCACCACGAACCTTTCCCCTGCCTCGCACCCGGCGCTACGGCCCCCGCCCCTCTGCCCCCAGCGCCGCGCGCGCGCGCGCGCCGTTTCCCGGAAGCCAGGGGCGGGCGCCCCGCCCGCGCGCAGGGTCTGACGGGAGCCGCCTCGGCTCTGGGGCGGAGGACCGAGCGGCGATTGGCGTCCGGGGGCTGCTGGGAAGATGGCGGACTCGGTGGCCGGCCGATGAGGAGGCCGCGGGGGGAGCCGGGCTCCCGGGCCCCGAGACCGACTGAGGGAGCGATCTGCGCTGGGCCTGGGGAGTCATGTAGGGGGCGGGCGTCTGTGGAGCGGGCCGCGGGAGGGCTGCGGGAGTTGGTATAAGGCGACAGTGATCACGGTCTCCCGGCGTCCCGGGGCCGGGTGGGCGCGGGGGTGGGCCCTGACACTGCCGACTCCGCGCCGCCCCTACCCCCCTGCGCCCTCGGCTTCCACGGGCGCCCTCCGAGGTAGGCGCGGCGTTCTCCTTTCACAGGCGAGGAGGCTTAGGCAGAGAGACGAAGCCACTGGTCCAAGGTCACGCAGCTGGTAAGTGGGAGCATCCAGCATGGAACCCAGGACCGTCCGGCTGCGGAGCCCCCGTGCCGCCCACCGCGCCGCCGCCGCCGCCACCGCCGCCGCCGCCTCCTGCGGGAGCGGGAGGTGGTCGGGTGTGGGGAGCTTGTCGCCTGGCCGAGCTGGGCTCCAGGCTGGGCGCGACCACTGACCAGATTCGTGACCTCGGGCTTAACTTTACCCCTTCACCTCTCTGGGTCTTGGTTTCTCCGCCTGTGAAATCGAGGTAATGCCAGCCCTGCCTACGCCCTCATAGGCGTAGGAGGAGGATCAGAGGAGCTAATGCATGTGGAATTGCTTTGTAAATATCCCTGCGCTGAGACCACTGAAGGATTGATGGCTGTTTCAAAGCGTGGAAGGAGACAGAAAGAGGGGCTGGTGGGGAAGAGGACCAGAGCAGTCACAAAGAAGGGTGAACGTGGCTCTGGCTTGCTCTGATCCCAGGCCCCTCTGCACGGGCAGTGAGGTGAGGAGTAGACAGCAGGCTTCTCTCCCCTTTGGGGAAAACCTCACCCCCTTTTCTGGGCCGCCCCTCAGGGTCTCCATCACCCAACTCCATGCTTCGAGTCCTGCTCTCTGCCCAGGCCTCTGCTGCTCGGCTGACGGGCCTGCTGCTGCTCCCATCAGCACAGCCCTTCTGTCTGGGGCCCAGCAAGTGGGGGGACCGGCCTCCTGGAGGAGGCTCCCGCGCAGGCCCCGTGCAGGGGCTGCAGCGGCTTCTGGAACAGGCGAGGAGCCCTGGGGAGCTGCTGCGCTGGCTGGGCCAGAACCCCACCAAGGTGCGCGCCCACCACTACCCTGTGGCGCTTCGTCGTCTCGGCCAGCTCTTGGGGTCCCAGCCACGGCCCCCTCCTGTGGAGCAGGCCACACTGCAGGACTTGAGTCAGCTCATCATCCGAAACTGCCCCTCCTTTGACATTCACACCATCCACGTGTGTCTGCACCTTGCAGTCTTACTTGGTGAGGAGGGTGCCTGGGGGATGGGTGTTGATGGAAGACTAGCGAAGAGCTGTGCAGGCCCCAGGATTACTGACAATTCACATCTCAGGCCCTGCTGGGAACGGCCGAGCCCCGACTCACTGCTGCTCCCTCACATCCATGGCCGACCTCAGGAGTCAAGCAGCATTCCCTGCAGCTTAGCTAGGGTGCTACCCCAGGTTATTTCCCCCACAGCGCTCTAAGAGCCACCACAATGTGTCACCGTGAGCATGAGATGACAACGTAGTTGCCATCTTTGTATAAGACCTTCCCCACGGGCTGTTCTGATCCCTTCACATGGTATTTCACACGTGCACTGGAGCAAACCTTCCAGCCCAGAGAACAGAGATGGGAGAGGTTGGCGGTCCACGAACAGCCCCAGGCCTGGAGCAGAGCAGAGCAGAGCAGAGCAGCTCCCCGTTGCCAGCACTGCCTCCTCTGACCCTCTCCCTCTCAGGCTTCCCCTCAGATGGGCCCCTGGCGTGTGCCCTGGAGCAGGAGCGAAGGTCCCGCCTCCCTCCGAAGCCGCCGCCTCCTCTGCAACCTGTCCTTGGAGGTGGGCAAAGGTTGGAAGCTGCTCTGAGCTGCCCCCGCTTCCTGAGGCATCCACAGCAGCACTTCATCCGAAGTCTGGCAGGTGCTAGAGGGGGTGAAAGGCAGGTTGGAGGTCAGGGGCTGAGGAGGAGGCACATGGGGGGGACCGGTCAAGGTGGACACTAGTCTGGAGACCTGGCCTGAGGGTCCAGTGTGACAAGCTGTCCTTCACAGAGGGCAGGCCAGAGGAGCTGACACCTCACGTGATGGTGCTCCTGGCCCAGCACCTGGCCCGACACCGGTTGCGGGAGCCCAAGCTTCTGGAAGCCATTGCCCACTTCCTGGTGGTCCAGGAAGGCCAGCTCAACAGCAAGGTGGGATTGCCTCCCGTGCTTCTCAGCCGCCCATCAGGCCCGGCCCCTGTCTAGCTTGATTGCTGTGCCCTCCAGCGAACAGCCCAGCTGCCCAGCCAGGGCTTGTCCCCTGGGTTCCATCTGGGCTCACACCGCCCCAGCGTCTCCGGCTCCCAGCACGTGCATGGTTCTCTGCAGCCTTCCAAGCACTCGGCCTGTCTGAACTTTACCGATCCCACTCCTCTAGGCCTTCAGGGCGGGCCCCGCGGCGCTGTCTCCTCCACTTGTTTGGTGATTGATTGCATGCATGGGGCTCAGGACACGGCTTATGCCATGACCTGGTGTGTGTCAGGTAGCGGAATGGTCCTGCCCTTGCAATGACGTCCTAGGCTTGCAGACCAAGGTTTTTGGAGAGCTGTTCCATGCTGGGTGATGCCTGCCCTCCCTCCACAGGTGGTACAGAAGTTGGTCCTGCCCTTTGGGCGGCTGAACTACTTTCCCCTGGAACAGCAGTTCATGCCCTGCCTTGAAAGGATCCTGGCTCGGGAGGCAGGGGTGGCCCCCCTAGCCACTCTCAACATCTTGATGTCACTATGCCAGCTGCAGTGCCTGCCCTTCCGAGCCCTGCACTTGGTCTTCTCCCCAGGTTTCATCAACCACATCAGCGGTACGCTGACTGGAAGGCTGGCTGGGACCCTGAGGGCCAGCGGGCGGGTGGGCAGGGGGAGTGGGGTAGGGTCTGCAGACCAGTGTGTCTTAGTCCCCTTGCCCATAGGCACCCCTCATGCCCTGATTGTGCGGCGCTACCTCTCCCTGCTGGACATGGCCGTGGAGCTGGAGCTCCCTGGATACCGGGGTCCCCGCCTTCCTCGAAGGCTGCAAGTGCCCATCTTCCCCCAGCCACTCATCACTGACCGTGCCCGCTGCAAGTACAGGTGGGTGGGGCAGCCTGGGGAGGGGAGGGGGAAGCTTGGAAGCAGCAGAGTGGAAAACGCAAAGCATCGGGACCGGTTTAGGCCGATGGAGTCTCAGCAGCCATAACGGAACAGGTCTCGAGGCAACGAAGGCATTGGCCCAGGGTCGCAGAGCTAGGGGGCACCGGGCTGGCACAAGACTCCTGGCTTTCCCTCCGTCAGTGTCCTCTCCCCTTTCAGTCACAAAGACATAGTGGCAGAGGGGCTGCGCCAGCTTCTGGGGGAGGAAAGATACCGCCAGGACCTGACTGTGCCTCCAGGGTACTGCACAGGTGAGCTCCCGGTGGGTGGGCTGGCAGCGGGCTGCAGGCCATGGGGCCGTGGCTGAAAGGCAGTGGCCTTCTCTCTTCCACCCACCCCCTCCAGACTTCCTGCTCTGTGTCAGCAGCTCTGGTGCTGTGCTTCCCATGAAGACGCAGGACCCTTTCCTACCGTACCCTCCCAGGTCCTCCCAGAGCCAGGCTGCCTCTCAGCAGACTGCCCGAGATGCTGCCCAAAGGTAGGCCTTCCTGCCTTCCTGGACAGGGACCCTGCCTTCCTGGACAGGGACCCTGAGCCACAGTCCTCTCCCGCCAGGGTGGTGCTGATGCTGCGTGAACGCTGGCATTTCTGCCGGGATGGCAGGGTGCTGCTGGGCTCCCGGGCCCTGCGGGAGCGGCACCTGGGCCTGATGGGCTACCAGCTCCTGCCGGTGAGAGCCCCCCCCAGCCCCCCACCGTGAGATTCCATGTGTCCCCACCTCCACCCGCAGGGGCTGTGGGTGACCTCCTGCCCTGCCTGTCCTCGCAGCTATCCTTTGAGGAACTGGAGTCACAGAGAGGCCTGCCGCAGCTCAAGAGCTACCTGAGACAGAAGCTCCAAGCCTTGGGCCTCCGCTGGGGGCCTGAAGGAGGCTGAGGGGACGCACATGGGGTTGTGATGGCCCCCCCGTGGGGGGCGGGCAATTTGCACTTTGGCTCCGTTTTGTGTTTCATTAAAGTCTCTTTCCTTCCCCATCATCGCGCATCTCGTTTCTGGGCCGGGCAGCAGGCTGGGTCCGCCCACCCCTTCCCATCCATGCCCCAGCACCTCAGAGACCAGGCCAGGGGCGGGTGGGGGCCAAAGCACTTTACTGCGGGGGTAGGGGCAAGGGGGCATTAAATTATTCACTTAAATAAAAATGAGGAGGGAAGGGGATGGGAGGGCAGCCCCAACCCGTTCCCTCTGTCCATCCGTCCCTCGGCTGTCCGTCCGGCAGCAGCTACACAGGCATGGGCATCTCATTGTACTCGTCCACACCCTCCCGCTCGTCGAACACCGGCTCCGCCTCATTGGCGTCCAGCTGCGGGGGAGGCAGGAGTCAGGAGGGTGGACCCCAACCAGGACATGGGCAGGGACCACAGAGAGGGGCGGGGGTGGGGGGCAGGCGGCCTTACGCATTTCATCTCTCGCTCGGTGAAGATGCGGGTGAGCACCACCATGCGCAGTGGCACGGTGAGGATGAGGATGAAGGGGAAGGCCAGGGAGGCGGCTGTGGACATGACGGCCCAGAGCAGGGCCAGGCAGAGCAGCTGCAGGGCCGTGAACAGGTGCATACGGAGGGTCCGGACCTGGAGGCAGGCAGGGGGCAGTGAGACGGGGTGAGCCCAGGCTCCCCGCAGCCACCAAAGGCCAGGTTCCTGGCGGGCCAGCCGGTTCTGCCACGTCCAGAGGACTGAGGACCCCATTCCCCTCCACAGGGGCAAAGACAGAAGCGCCTCCCAGGCCTGCAAAGACTGAGCGGTGGCTGGCCAAAGGAGGTTGATGGGGGGTGGGAAGGTGGCCCACGCTACCCAGGAGGGGGCGGGGGCACGGGGCCCTTCCAGGTGGTGCCTCACCTTCTTGACATAGGTGACGTCCGGGTGGTGTTTGGGTGGCATGAGCAGCAGGTGCAGCCGCTCGTAGAACTGGATCCCGTTAAGGGAGGTGACTCCCATGTACAGGAAAATCCCGAAGAGCACAGCCAGGGGTATCTGCCGGAGCAGGTCCCCGATGACGATGGAGAGGCCTGGGGAGCAGGGCAGAGGCGGTCATCTGCAGACTCCCCCTGCCGCCCTGCCACCCCCCGCAGACAGGTGTGGGTGAGGGGCGAACGTACCCACAAGCAGGGCGACCAGCAGCCCCGTCACCCGCTGCTCCTTGACCTCCTGGATTTTGGGTTTGTCGCCGGGCGCCACAGCCTTGCTCATGACGGTGAGCGCGTTGGCGTGGGTGACGGAGCGGACGGTGGCGGCGGCCAGCCAGGGCAGGCCGAAGAGGGCGCAGATGCCGCCCATGGCCACGATGAGCAGCAGGTCCAGGTGGAAGCCCGAGCCCTTCTGCAGCATGCGCTCCTTCTTGGAGATGATCAGCCTGTGCAGGACAGGGCTCTCTGAGGCCCGGGGCCCCCTGGGCAGGCAGCCGGGTCTTCCCAGGGCGCCCAGCTAGTGGCCCGTTTTTGGAACCTGGTGGCCCCCTCCCATTCCACCCAAGGTGAGAGTGGCATGATGAAGCTGAGCCCACTCTGCACTGCCTCCCGCCTTCTAGGACAGCTCCCGCCTTGCACTGGGCGCATCCCAGCAAACATCAGGGGGATCTTCTGCCGCCTACAGAATACACTCCAGCGGCCACTTTGGCGCCTGCCCTCCCCACACCCAATGCAGCGCGCGGCCGGGCTGCGGCCCGGCCACATGCCACCAGGCAGCCCCGGCCGGCACAGCGCCCCCTCGGGCAGGACCGCTCACGTGGTGATCTGCGTCTCCATGAAGATGAGGATGAAGACCAGGAGGGCGGGCAGCAGGCTGGCCACCATCATCCACACGGGGAAGGAGCTGTTCTCGCCCAGGGGGTTGATGACCCAGCCCCGCTTTTCAGGGGCCGTCACCGACAATCCACTGGGCACGTTCAGCTTCTGTGGGTGGCGAGGAGGGGCGGGGGTGCAGGACCAGGCAGTGAGCCTCGGAGGGAGAGCCCCGAGCTGCCCCAGGCAGGGTGAATGCAGAGGGCGCGCAGGGGAAAAGGCCCAGGTCTGCCCAGTTAGGAGGCAGTTCCAGAGCTGGGGCCACAGGGGACCCTCCAGTGCCCGGCGCCACGCAATGCACTCGCTGCTGCGTGTGCTCGGCCTTACCTGGGTGTAGGTGTCCTCGATACTGTAATCCACGAGCACCATGATGAGGATCGCAATGGGCACCCCGAAGTCCCCAATCACCCGCCGCACCTGTGGGCGAGCACCACGCTCAGCTCGGAGGCCCCTGCCCTGCTCCAGACCGGACCCCTAGTCACCCACAGCTATGCCCGGCTCCTGCCTCCTGGGGCCTCCATCCCACGCACCCGGCCAGGGAAGAACCGGCTGTTCTTGAACTTGCGCAGGAAGAAGGCGATGAAGAAGGTGCCGGCCATGAGCACCAGTGACAGCAGGGCCGTGTTGGGCTGGCCCCGGGGCCTTCCCGGCACAGAGGGCCCGGCCTGGCTCACATTCCCCGGGCCCAGCGTGGGCCTTGCCCCAGCCCACGTGCTATTCTCGCCGTCGTCTGCTGCGCTGCGGGCTGCGTGGGAGCTGTTGGCGACAGAACAGCCATGGAGGGGATGTTCCTGGAAGATCTGAGGAGAGGACAAAGGGCTCTATCAGCAAGACTGGAGTAACTGCGGGGCGCAGCCACATGCCTAAGGGGACAGGTGGGGCCGGAGTGGCCAGCGGCCTGCACAGAGCTTCTCTGTGGATTAAGAGAATGGCCCAGCTCTGGCTGGTGTGGCTCAGTGGACTGAGCTCTGGCCTGTGAACCAAAGGGTCACTGGTTCCATTCCCAGTCAGGGCACAGGCCTGAGTTGCGGACCAGGTCCCCAGTAGGGGGCGCAAGAGAGGCAACCACACATTCATGTTTCTCTCCCCCTTTCTCGCTCCTGTCCCCTCTCTTTAATAAATAAAATTAAAAAAGAAGAGAAAATGACCCAGAGAACCAAGTATGAGCACAGTGCCACTGAGGATGAGCAGAGAGGCTGGCCTTCCTCAGAAGGGCGCCGGGCGGGGAGGCTGCAGCCCGCCCTGCAGGGGCAGGGTGTGGGGCGGGGAGCCTGCCGCAGACGCGGGTCTGCTGTGCTGGCCGTGACTGCGTGTCCTCTCGGGGGCCTTCTCCTTTCTACATTCTGGATCGTTTGCCACTTCAAACAAAATTACCTTTTCAACTAAAACTATGTTTTTGAGATTGCTTGCCAGCCCTGCGGACCTGGCAGGGCTTGGAGCAGGTGGGGGGCAGGAGAAAAACCAGCCCGCACTCTGTGGGCTCCCTGGGCTGTGGCTGGGGGTGGGGGCCTCCCTGTCAGTAGAGAATGGGGGAGGGGCACATCGCCCCCGGGCTCCCTCCAGTCCCGAAGCCTCACCCCTCCCAGCCCAGCGCTCAGCGGGACCTGCCCACCTTAATCAACTTGTAGAAGGTCTCATAGATGAAGATGAGGGAGATGAGGAAGGCAAAGATCTCCTGGGTGAAACGGGAGACGAAACGAACCAGGAAGCTCCCCTCCAGGGCCACCATGAGCAGGGCCAGCAGCACCAGCCAGAAGCCGATCCACACGCGGCCCACCAGGTACTCCAGGTCGTTGTTGTTGCAGAACTGAGGGGCGGGGTGGGGGAACGTCCCGTCAGGCCCGCAGAGCGCGGGCTAACTGGGCGCGCGTGCTCCAGGGAGCAGAGGGGCAGCTCCAAGCGGCCTGTGGACCCTCACCGAGAAGAAGGCCTCCTCGAAGACCAGCAGGGGCCCCGAGAAGCCGATCACCAGCAGCGGCTGGGCACCCAACAGGCAGAAGACCACACCCTGGAGCGCCGTGGACAGGATCAGCTCCGACACCCCAATCAGGTTCTCCGTCTTCTCTCCTGGGGGGGGGGGGGCAGGAACCCGCTCAGCAGCTGGCAGCCGGGCCCCGCGTGCCCCCCGCCCCGCTGAAGCCTCTCCTTACCCAGCAGCCCCCCGAAGGTGATGGCAGGAGACAGGGCTGCGAAGTAGATGAAGATGACCGCAGCCAGGCACTGGGGGTTGAGCGCATCCCGGAAGTCACTCAGGTAGTGGGGATAGCGGCGCCGCACGTCTCGGATCAGCCCCCCGAAGGGCCGGCCCGTCCGCCGAAGGGGATCGTCTTCCACTGTGTCCGTTGCCTCTACCATCTGCAGGAGCGCTGCAACCCAGGCCTCCATCAGGGCGCCCGCCGCGGCCCCCTGCTCACCCCATTCTCCTCAGAAAACATACCGACCACCCGCCTCCTATCCCAGGCAGCCCCAGCCTGCACTGGCCCGTACCCTTATCTTGGGCCGACTTGGGCTCCAGCCCAGCCCCTGGGGGCAACAGCCGGCCCTGCTCCTCCCGCTTCTTGAGCATCTGGCGCTGGAAGTGCGCGACGGACCGCAGCAGCTCCTCGCCCTGCACTTCCGAGGGGGGCAGCACCACGCTGCAGTCCAGGAAGGCGTTGATGGCGGTCAGCAGGTCCTCCCGCTCGTCTGCCAGGTAGGCCGCCTCGTGGAATTGCTGCCGAAGCAGAATAGGGCCGGTGAGGGCACAGGCCAAGGGCCTGGGGCCTGGGGCAGAGCTGGGCTCCGCAGCGGGGCTGACCTTGTCAGACATGAGGGTGGAGATGGAGCGGCCGATCTCGTGGTAGTCCATGTTGGCGCTGCTCGGGCCCAGCAGCAGGAAGAGGAAGCGCACGGGCACAGGCACCTCCAGCACCGCGTCCAGCTCCACCGCCTCCCGCAGCCGCACGAAGGCCATGGTGGGCCGGGAGAGGAACTCCACGCAGCCTGGGGGCACGGGCCGCCATGGGCAAGAGTGCGGCACAGGCCAGCTCCCAGCCCCCAGCCCCCAGCCGGGGGCAGCCCGAGCAGGGCAGGCCAGCCGCCAGGACTCCCGCCCCCAAGATGGGCCCCACACCCCCACATACCCACGAGGACCACGGTGGCCTCGGCGTTCTCGGGGATCTTCTCCAGCAGTTTCAGCTCGTGCTTGGACTT